GAATGTGATAAAACTCTGATTAATCTCAGATTTTGATTATTTTTGTAGAGATCTAGTAGAGTGCGGGCAGCACGGTGGCGCAACTGGTAGAGCTGCTGCCTCTCAGCGAGCAGGTCCTTGGTTCAAACCTCGGTCCAGGGGCCTTTCTGGGTGGAGTTTGCATGTTCTCTCCGTGCATGCGTGGGTTTTCTCCGGGTGCTCCGGTTTCCTCCCACAGACCAAAAACATGCATGTTAGGCTGATTGGTAACTCTAAATTGTCCCTAGGTGTGAGTGAGAGAGTGAATGGTTGTTTGTGACATGGGCACCAGCGACCCCCGTGACCCAAAATGGAATAAGCGGGTAAAGATAATGGATGGATGGATGGATAGTAGAGTGCTGTATGAATGGGTAAATGACACAGATTGTAGTGTAAAGTGATTTGAGTGTCTTGACAAGATAGAAAGGTGCTATATAAGTACAGTCCATTTACCATTTACAGGTATAGTCAAATGTATTCATACACTTTAGGATGCTAACTGGCAAAACCAAAGATGCAACTAAAACTTTGTAGTGTCATTAATTAAAAAAATGTCGTGCTGAAAGGGAACAAGAAATTGTTGCTTCTTTTTTTATGTTTATCCAGATGTGAACTCCAAATCAGCCAGAGTTCTGGCCTCCCTTGTAGTTCCAGGCCACCTCCTCTTCCTCTACACAGTGCAGATTTTGCAAGGGGGCCATACTGACATCACACCAACCTTCACTGTCTGCTACTTGTCTGCAGCTCTGCTTCAGGTCAGAAACATGTTCATACAAAATAAACAGCTCATCAGGTATGTTCTTACAAAGCTAAATGCTGGAATAAAGTTGGGACATTGTGTAAAATGTAAATAAAAATGGAAAGCGCTGATTTGCAAAACTCATTAACCCATATTTTGTTCACAATTAAACATATTCAACATATCAAATGTTTATATTAAGAATTTGGCCAATATTTTAATAAAAAACGTTTTGAATTTGACAGCAGCAACACATTGGAAAAAAAATGGAACAGCTATCCGACAGCAAAGCTACTAGGATGGTTTAAGAACACAAACTCCTCTAACACAATAAGTTTCAGTTCACATAAGAGATATATGGATGTCAACAGATCATTTGAGACAAACTAAATCACTTAGAACTAAAGATTGGCAGAGGTTTGACTAGTCTGGAACTGTTAATTAATAGAAATTAGCGGAAAATTTTCAGAATAATGTTCCTCAACGAAAAACTGAACATTTGAACATTCTGAACAGATGTTTCAATCACAGCAAAATGCAAATGCAGAAATTGATTCGCTGAATAGCAAAATAGATGTGCTTAACAAAAAGCTGGAAGAACGCAGGATAGATAAACACAATTTACAACAGCTACATATGCGTTTAGAAAGTGATTATCATACATCACAGGAACGTTTAAAAACATGTGAAGAAAAACTAAGAGCGGCAACAAATAAAAGTTCTGACGTGGGGCGAGTTTGTCCGGAACTCAGAGAAGACCGTGGACAGAGTCCAGGTCACCCACAAACACCTCAGAAAGATGTTGTTGCACCTCCTGCTCGTAATCCACCCTCACCTAAAGTGGCAGGAACAGACCTGAACAGGTCTCCTCCACAAAACATGCAACAGAGTGCACGGAAACTTCCTCTTTCAATGGATGTTCTGCTAAAACTCTCAAAATATGTACAACGCTTTGTACCTGGACCGATGGGCTCATCTGGAACAAAAGCGTACCTCAGAGATCTGGAGTTCAGATTGAGATCTTATCCTAATGCTACGGTTGAGGATAAGATCAGTCTGATACGGCTCACTTCAGACAGAGAGGTGTATGCCTTCATCGAGCGTCTACCTGATGCAACGAGAAAGGATTACAACCTTCTGTGTGAAGCTTTGATCAGAGAGTACGACTCCTGCACGGGACCTGCTGGTTTCCCAGCCGCTGACAAGGTCACGCAGGGCAAGAATGAACATCCAAAGATCTATTACAAAAGAATCTTCCAAGCTTATTTTGGTTACAGAAATGAAACCGGAATGGAGGAAGAAGAAAATTTTAAATTTGTTTTCAGCAAAAATCTCCACACTGACATACGCATGTCAGTACAAATTATGGCAAATTTCAGAGAAAAATCCATAAATGAGATTAAACAGTGTGCTGTGAATGTGCTCGAGGCACGTTCTCATGCTAAGACGCCCATAGAAGTGTTTCCTAGTGTAAAGGTTAAACCCCTCCCTCTTGAACTAGAAGGACGACGCGCCTCGCCGCCTCTTCCTAAGAAAGTTGAGAGAAAACAGTCTGTTCAAACTAACAAACCACGTAATGAAGGTGCACGCTGGGACAAAAAGGCTCCTCTTTCAGAGGATGAACGTGATTATCGTATATGGGACATGCGTAGGACGCAAGAATATGGGAACCGAGAGGACCCATATTATCAGGGGAAATCCGAAGAGGAACCCCCAAAAGACGTACCTAACCCTCTCCCACCTCGGACGAAACGTCCCGAGGCGAAAAAATCACAAAAGTTCCAGAAAAAAGGCCCTACACCTCTGAGCTCGGAAGAGACAGAGGAAATACAAAGGTTTTTAGACACTTTGATACACGCTGAAATGGGAACCCAACCAGGAGCACAGTGTAGTGATGTGATCGCTACTAACTCTGAAGGCGCGAATGACAACATTACAGATGTCGGTGAAACACACCAAGACATTGCTGTTATTGCCTCCAACAACCCCTCATCGGACGAAGGGGGGATAAACTCACACACAAACGATGATGAGTCATCGCAAACTGAAAACTCAGAAACAGATTTTCATGATTTTGAACTAGGCATTCCAGTTCTGGGAGGACTCCCAGATAACCTGGTACCGAGTCAAGAAGCTGGGCCAGTATGTTTCACGAAACCATCACAGGCCATCGCTCTTTTCTCAACCAATGACGTCGACCAAGGACCACAAACCTATGGTGTCTTACCCATAGACAGGTCTGACGACTCAGAAAAGGATTTGTTGGAGCTCCCCAAGGAGCGAGAACCCTTAACAGTCTCATCACAGATTGAACAGGTGGTCGCTCAAGCCGACACTCTGACATCTGATGAAGAAAGAGACAAACTTCGCCAAGTTCTTTTAAAATATGAAAAGTCATTTTCAACTGACCCAGAAATCATCAAACTTCAGAAGTTGGATGATCCTGCAATTAAATCGATGATACTGTATCTGACTGACCCAGACAAATACACTCCATCGAAAGTCAAACTGGATTCCGATCCAGACCTAAAAGTCCTCTTTCAGCTGCGCAAACAGTTAAAACTACTCAAGGACAGCCTAACTTTAGCTCATGGAGCGACGTCCTCACCCGTGTTCGCGGTCTCCCATGACCGAAGGGGGGTGACGCCAGTTAGGATAATGCTACCAGACGCGATAACATGATCAAATCTGACATTCAGAGTGAGTGGCGCACCGAAACGTTGTTTCCTAGTTGCTTAATCACTGCTTTTGTCAATGTTGAAACGTTGTTTAACTGGTTGCTTAGTCACTGTTTTTGTCGATGTTGAGACATCGTTTAATTGGTTTTGGTATTGTTTCTGAACACCCCAGGCAAGAATGAATTTTGTTGTGTAGTTAAGTTAGAGACTAAGAGGCCTTTGACCATGCCAACATGCAGTTCATTCATTAAATTGCAATCTTTGCGGAGTCAATGTATATTATTGCTACTTTAAGTACCATAATCTACATTGATCTCACAACGCTTAAGCCGAACCTACTCGAACAATTCTATTCGGGGGGATAGCTAATTCTTTTTGATAAGTCTCGCCATAGACTTCCAAAACATTTATGGGGAAACCAAACACCCAATCTCAAGTCGTTCGTCTAAAAGACAACAGACATTTGAACCAAACTATATTTTACCATGTAAAGCTAACTTAAACCAAGTTAGAAATGGAAAAATAGTTTGGAACCCTTTTCTATAGGTATAAACCCCTGTAGTTACCCTTTTCAGCATGTTCCACCCCTTAACTGGTAGTTGTAGCTGTTCCCAACCATAATAGCTTACACACCAGGTGCATATAGTTTAAGGCCTTATGTAAAATCCCCTTCATAAGCCCACCTTAAACCACATAATTGCATGACACATTGAACCAGAACGGCACAGGCTGGACGTCGCTGGAGACAACCTTCGCTGGAGGCGACCTGCAATCCTGACGTTGGTCTCCACTCTTCATCC